CTTTCGTGTATAATTAGTATGGTCTAGCTAACAAGGAGCCATTGTTCTATTGAGTTTATTGCTTTAAAAAAAATGTTATTCCTATCATCTAGGTCTAGAACCCATGGTTTGTATATATCAGTCAAATCTTTCTATATTAGTAGACATGGAAAGCTGCTGAGCCTTGTTCATTCCTGTAAGCTCTTCTCAAAGCCACTAGCCTTGAACTTGCCTTTAGACAGCACCGAGACCCAGATTCTCCATTTCCCAGGTGCTCAGTGTCCTCAAGGTCTGGGTCTTCACCTGGCCATTAGCTCTCATTACTCAACCTCACTTTCCCTTTTTATTAAATTTTAAAAATTATTTTATTGTTAATTATGTGTATTGTGTGCCACTTGATGGGGATGATGGGAACGAACTCTAGTTCTCTGCAAGAGCAGAAAGCCTCAACTGCTGAACCATTTCCTCAGCCCCCTCCCTTCTTAAAAAAAGACTTGAAAAGAAAAAGAGAAAGGAAAAAGAATTTTAGACACATAACAAAATGGAGAGGGAGGCAGATAGTTCCCATGTATTATTGCCCTCACAACAGGCATAGCCCACCCCTTTTATAAGGACAGACACATGTCACTTTATCTTTGTCCAAACCCACAGACACTTGGGTGTACAATATCAAGAATAAATAATGGAGTCAGGTGGGTAGAAAGTATCCATGTGTGTTCACTGATTATAACAACTGCATATTCCACTGGGGGCTGTTTACAATGGAGGAGGATATGCATATATGGGGTGGGGAGTATGGGAAATATCTACCCCCCTCTCAGTACTGCTATGAACTTAAATTTTTTAAAGACTGCATTCTGAGGACCTGTCCCTTCTACCCATTTCTTGACAGCTACTGACTCAGTTTCTGTAGTTTTCCAGAATGGTAAGCAGCTGCAATCCCTACATGCAGCCTTTCAGACTGGCTTCTTTCACCAAGTGTACATCTGACTTTCTTCTGTGACCATTTGCTCTTAACCCTAACTCCAGGAAACCTTGTCAACTATGCTCCTGCCAAACTGATTTCCCTGGGAACCCTGCAAGCAGGAGAACACATAGGGAACTCACACTGCTCCACAGCACTCAGGTTGTCTGTGAAACCCTTCCTGCCATGCCTTGGTGACGCCCTCCTTCCCCACTCTGGATCCACGACACCCATGGAGAAGTTTCTGTGGTGCACAGCCTGATGTGATATGCTTCAGTAACCCACCAACAAATTGAGCAACAAAGGCCTTAGGCACTGGTAGAGGAAGATGTCTGGAAGCATGGTGTGAAAAGCCTGGATACTGAAACCAAAGAACTTGGCTGCAGGCCCATGCCCTGTGGGACTCTTGGCAAGCTTCTTCACCTTGCTGCCCTGGGCCTGTCTCCATCACCTGTCCTTACTCTTCCATGTGACAGAGCCAGAAGCCAATGTTATACCACAAAGCAAATTTAAGTGGGAAGGGCTATTTTAACTCATTTAATAGTAGTCAGTTGGGACAGTGACTGCCAATTAAAACATTACTGCTGCATGCTCTTGTTCTACAGCCAGAAACATGCCAGGCTAATCACTTACACTAATATTTCCTGTAAACATCTCAAACTTTGATGAGGCCTAGGGCACATACCCTCTACACACTGTTTTGCACTGTTTGCACTTACAGAACAGGGGCTTCGGGGCCATAAAATGCAGAGTTAATACAATGTTTCAGCTTAAGAAATCAGGGGCCTGGGTTCGTAACCTCCATTAATTTTTCAAAGTGACTCCTAACCTCCCAAAGAAGTCCTTCCTATGAGATGGAACAAATTTTTGAGCCTGTGCATGTGTAACAATAGCAAAGAAAGGAAGCCATGAATGTGGGGGACAAGGGGAGTTGAAGGGAGAAATGATGTAATTATATTTTAATTAAAATTAAAACATTTGAAAGAAAAGAAATGAGAGAGTGAGCATGTGAACTTGCTGAAGCTCTGCTGCAGCCTTCTTCCCCTGGCCAGAGGAGGGAGCTCACAAGGTTCCCATCACTGTAGTGCATGCTGGGACGGCAAGCGTGTGGGGAACCTAACACACAGCAAGGTTTGCGACAGTAACTGGGCATGGTTGCCCGGTACTTCTAAACCCCTTTGTTGTGTGCAACAATGTACTAGGGAATCTCTGTCTTGGTGACTCTCTAGGTCTCGGCTTATCAGGATCAGTCTCAAGTTACAAGTGATCACTGAGCCCTTGAAATGCGGCCACTCTGAATTGAAAAGTGGCACAGGTATAGATACATAACACATCTGCAGGAAAGTAATGTAACGCAGCTTACCAATCATTTTCTTGCTGGTCACATGTTCAAATCATAATATTGTGGGCACGAAGTTTAAACACACTATTACAATTAACTTGATATTCTTATTTTTGTTAATGATGCTATTAATTATTTCCACTCTACATGTGGCTCCCATCTGCGGCTGCGGCTGCGGCTGCGGCTGCTGTGTTCTAAGGAAGACACTACGCACCAGTTCGTTTCCACCAGTGACTCACCAATGAATCCCATCTTAGAAAGCTTACTCTGTAAATCAAAGACAAAGCTTTCAAACAGGAGCTCTAAGTTTGGCACACACATAAAACATTGGCCAAAAATACAAGAGAAAATACACTAACTTCATTTACAGATATCTGCCTCCACTGCAAAGCCCATTTGGGGACTACCCAGAACCTAAGCCTAAGAGTGTGACATCATGATAAACACCTGATGAGGACCTCTCCGCAAAGCACCTACTATGTGTCAGCATCTTCACATTTATCATCATTATTTTATTTCTATTAGAAGGAAAGCTGAAGCGCAGAGTCGCTCCCACCATTCAGCTAGTTAGTAGAGGACACCCAACCACTGTTTATACCACTGACCTGCTCCCCACAACCTCGGTCCTGTTATGTTAGCAACACCCTCTAGTTCACAAAATTTCTCCAGAAACCTTATGTTGTTCACTTTCCAAACTATTCTGTGAAGCAGACAGGAACATTCAAACCCTCTGTTTAAAGGAAAGCATCTAACTGCACGGATGCTCAGCCTCAAGGCTCCCAATGGGAAAGCACAGCCTTGGACCTAGGAGTTAGGAGGGACGTAAAAGTATCCTCCGCAATCTCCAAATAGAACTTTAAAAAATTTACATGTTCTTGTGGGGAGAGGGTTGGGTCACAAATGCCACAGGGTTCATATGCCATTGTACCTGTGTATAGAGGTCAGAGGATAGATAACCTTTAAGAATCAGTTTTCTCCATTCACTATTTGAATTCCAAGATCTGAACTCAGGTTGTCAGGCTTGGTGGCAAGTGCCTTAATCTGGTGAGCCATCCCACTGGCTCCAGAACGTTCTTCTCTTAATGCTGCTTTTCCCCTAGGCATGGAGTTAAATGGAATACCAGAGTGAGGCCTTTTCTGTTAACAACAGTCATATATTCCAACCACAATGTAACTGTTTCTACATATATACTGTGGTATACTAGATATAAATAAAATGCTACCAAAGCACCACAGATTTATGGTGCCACACTTGATGTATTACTATAGTCACTATTTCCCACTATTTCATCTATTCTTTCACGCCTACAGTATTATTTGCATTGAAAGCCCTTGAGGCTATTTGTGGTCCAAACAAACTGAACCCACATGCAGTGAAGTAATGAAGTGCTGAGCAAACATGTGAAAGGCCCACAGAAGAGCTTATGTTCTGCCCAGACAAGTCTTCTGAGGAGCAGAGTAGCAAAAGCCATTTTTTGTTCCAAAGCCTAAGAAAAACACGACCTATAGGACCAGCTCTAACACAGAGCAAGCAGGATGAAAGCAGACTGCCAGAGGCCGCTGTGAGCCCACAGGAAGAGGACCCAGGTCTGTGGTGATATTTTATTTGTGCTGAAATGCAGTGATATTTTATTTGTGCATTAATAAATAAAGCTTGCCTGGAGATCAGGGGGGATAGGCCAGCCATTTTAAGTAAACAAAGAAGTCAGGCAGCCCACGCTCTTAATCCCTTAGTAGTCAGGATCTCTGTGTGTTCAAGACCACACTAGGGAACAGAACCAAGTGGGGTGACACACGCCTTTAATCCCAGTACCAACCATAGAGACCTGGAGATCTGTACAGACAGACAGAGACAGAGCTGTGTAGGAAGAGGAAGTGAGGTAGTTGGGCCAGAGAGGGCAGAAAAGCAAGGCATATAAGCCTGGGTAGACAGGAAGTCGCTCTCCTTGGAGCTGGTGAGGTGAGGTTAGGTGGTGGCTGTCCGTATTTCCCTGATCTCTCTAAAGCTTTAACCTAAATTTCTGGCTCCATGTTTTTTATTTAATAAGACCATTTAGAAATGTGGCTACACAGGTCAGAAGAGGAACCAAACAGCCGATCTGAAGGAGAAAGTAGGGCTCAAAAGAGAAGATGATCATTGAAGTTCCCAACAGAGAGAAAGCAAGAAAAGGGGCTGCTAAGATTGTGTAATAAGGCAGCTAAGCACCAGTAACACATTGTGCAATGAGCTGTTTGCCAAGGTTGTCCTAGGGCCAAGATGCAAATCAGAAAGGGACAGAAACCACCAAGACCAGCACCAGGGCACTGTCACCCAAGCAAAGAGGATGGGCAGTACAAAGCAGCAGTTCCTTAGCACCCATCACTCAAGGAGCAGGGCCTCACTAGTAAGTTTACTTAGACATTCAGCAGTTATTTTCTTGTCTGTGGTTTATCCACATTTCAATAAACAGCTCCTGTGTCCATATTGTATATTTGATTTAAAGTTCTATTTTTAAGAAAATAATGAAACTCTACCATATCAGAAAAGCTGGAGGATCTGAAACTGGGGAGGTATATGAGGAGCCATGTTTAATTCTTACCTACACGGTTGCCAGTCCCATGGCTAAACTCTGAAAAGCTCTAATGTTCTCCCTAAATGTCCTCTTTCCTCTTGAGTATCATGCTTATTTGGTGGCCTGGCTAATGCTATTTTCTTCCCACCATTTTTCTCTGCAGAAATCAGTTCCATGCCCTGAGGACTTTTGAAGAGGTTAATTGCTGTAGTAGGGATGGAGCCTTAGTTCAACATGACTAGAGTCCCTGTGAGAAGAGGAGAGCACCAGAACACTCATGAACAGAGAAGAGACCATGTAAGGATCCAGATGAAAGGTGGCTGCCTGCCTGCCTGCCAGGGAGAGCGGTGTCCAGAGAAACTTGCCTTGTGGTGATGTGAGGCTGCCCCCACACCATGGCTGTAAGGTGCAGCCACAGTATAAATAGCTACAGAACAGGGATTGTCACCCAGGCCAAGAAAGACTTTCTAGCAGTATCCCTCACAGGCTTGAGGCCTGCCTTCCCCTCCTGCTCCTCCAGGCAGAGGTAAGTCTCCTCCTTTCATGTTCTAGGACTACTCTGCCCGCACCTGTTTCTGTGCTTACCGCACCCTCTGTCAGCCCTCACTTCTAAATGATGAGCTGCTGCTAGGAGCTTGTCGTGAGTCCTGGACTGGAGTGACGGGCAACATGTGTGTCAGGTCCCCAGGGGAGTTTTCCTGGGAAGCACTGGCAGGGTGAAGGGCCTCAGAACAGCAAGAACAGTGCTCTAAGATTATGTTTTGAGAACAGCATTGAATTTTCACTTCCTTGAAGTAGAATTATCAGGGTCTCCTGAGGGACTTCCAGTGGGTGGGGGAAGTACTGTGTACACTTTTTCAGGCATGGTATATGAGTGTATTTCCTTCATTCAGAGTTTGATGTTAGTGATATAGAAGAATATACCTTCTGTTGACTCAGCCAAGATCTGTATTTTAAAAAATACTATTTAATTAGCATCATGCCCAGTAAGTTAGAAATTGATGGCAGTTGAGAAAACAAACCTATGAAGGGCCAGAACTTGGCCATGGTTGTCAGGCTAGTAGCAGACCAGGACCTGAACTTTCTTCTGGTTCTGCTGTGGTGGTAGCTGCTTCTTTTGGCCTCCATCCTGGGTGAGATGCAACAGACATGTCAGCAAGAAGAAGCATCAGTAACCAGTTCTGTTTTTTGGTTTTTTTTTTTTTTTTTTTTAAACAAAACAAATCTCTACCTTGGCCACACAGATTAGAGGTTAAAAAAAAAACAAAAACAAAAACAAACAAACAAACAAAAAACCCAAATCTTTAGAAGTTACCATTATTACTAAGCCCGGACAAAACAAATGCAACAGGTTTGAGCCACCTGATCTCCTGCCTCATGTGGGCAGAACTCGCAACTCTGTGCATTGGTGTTTTGCCTACATGGTGTCTGTGTGAGGGTGGCAGATCCCCTAGAACCGGAGGCAGTTGTGAGCTGCCATGTGGGTGCTAGGAATTGAACTCAGGGTCCTCTGAGAGAGCAGCCAGTGCTCTTAACTGCTGAGCCATCTCTCCAGCCCCTAACCTTATCTTCTAAAAGGCCCAAATACTGTCAGTCCAACTGGGACTTGAGCTCCAACTTGTTAATTTGTGGGAACACAATTTGGTCCATACTAATGCCACAGAATGTCCGAGTCCTCTGTTAATACTTAGACAGAACGACAACTTTGAAGGTGATTGCCATGGTTACCTCCTCTAGATGTCAGAATAACCTAACTCCTATTCTGTTTTTCATTTCTCCCAGTTTCACGTTACTCCAGATTCTCTACATTTTAAGTAACAGAATCTAACAAGAAAAAATATATGGAATTTCACATAACGCTAGGAGAAAAACATTTGTGGCTAAGTCTGGCTTGATTGGGGGTAACTGCCTGGGAGGGCGCCGGGAAAGCTGCCCTGAGAACACGCTTTCTCCGGCCGTCACAAGGCTGGAAAAAAGGCTCCATGGCTTTCAGTCTCTGGGGACTGGGCCTGGCACCATTTCTAATGGTGCTAGTGTGAGTCTCACTGGGGGCTGGTGCATGACAGACCCGTCCTTAATTCATCCCTAAAGTAGGGTTAAAGGTCAGGGTCCCACAAGCCAGATGACAAGCCTGGATCACTAAGGACAGAGGACAGCAGGTCCTTACCTCCCAGTCCCTCCCTTCTAAACCAGCTGCTGGACACACACAGCAGCTGTAGAGAAATAACAACACTATCCTAGCAGACAAACAGATGAGGCAAAAACTTATTTCAGTACCTTTTCAAAAGGTGTCTTTCGTACAATACTTTATACATTGGAATAACCTTAAACCCACGTCACTGCCCACGTGCAGAAGGACAAAGGGTTTAGTGACCATGGATGAAAACTCCCACATCCCTCCCTGTCAGTAGAAACTCTGCTCTGGCGTGCAAAGGAGCAGCAGGTTTTTCCATCCTTGGTAGTCCTTCACACAAGCCAGACTTTATCATGGAGACATTTAGAGTGATTACATCAACAGAATGATACACTAGACATTTATTTAAAAATAGCAAGAAAAAACAAACCAAAAACAGATGGCCACATCTGAGGGAGTGAGCAGAATAAAAAAAATAAAGATTTTTTTTTTAAAGCCCAATACACTAGTGAATGAAATTTAACATTTTGGAATTATCCAAAGAAACATTTTCTGCCAGGGATGTGTCAGAAAAACAAAAAGTGAACTTACTTAGAAATCCAAAGGGGCGTATAATAAAGTGAAGGAGAAAAACATGATCTCTGATTGAATTCTATTAAACTCATCAAGCAAAACACAATCTAGAAAGAAATTCAAACTGGGTGTGGTGGCACACACCTTTAATCCCAGTGCTTGGGAGGCAGAGGCAGGTAGATAGAGTTCTGTGAGTTCAAGGCCAGCCTGGTCTATATACATAGTAGTTTCATGACAGCCACATCCAGAGCTGCTTAATAGAGAGACCCTGTCAAGGAAGGAAGGAACGAAGGAAGGAAGGAAGGAAGGAAGGAAGGAAGGAAGGAAGGAAGGAAGGAAGGAAGGAAGGAAGGAGAGAGAGAGAAATTACAAAAGAAAAAGAAAGAGAAAGAAATTAAGAAAGGAAGGAAAGCCGGGCGTTGGTGGCGCACGCCTTTAATCCCAGCACTCGGGAGGCAGAGGCAGGCGGATCGCTGTGAGTTCGAGGCCAGCCTGGCCTACCAAGTGAGTTCCAGGAAAGGCGCAAAGCTACACAGAGAAACCCTGTCTCGGAAAAAAAAAAAGAGAAAAAAAAAAAAAAGAAAGGAAGGAAAGAAGGAAGAGAGAGAGGGAGGGAGGGAGGGAGGGAGGGAGAGAGGAAGGAAGGAATAAATTCAAACAAGAAAGTCTTATTTAAGAATTTTCAGCTCTAACATGCCAGTTAGAGAACCAAGAGAGGTGCAAAGCAGAATTCACTGTCTTCCCATTGAACACCTCCACCCACCCAGGGCTAAAACCCAGGGCCTCATTGTTAGGCAAGTGCTCTCCCACTAAACTGTATCCTAAGTCTTCTTCTAAGAGCTTCTTCAAGTCCTGTCCTAGCTACTATGACAATGTGAGCTTAGAAAATAATAATTCTGAAAAAGAGTTTGAGCTTTTCTATTTACAAAGCATTTTTGGATATATAATCTAAATGACATATACACCCCAGTAAAAGAATAAGTGATTTGCCCCAAATTATATAAACTATAACTCTGAACCCATATTCCGATGGGATATTTGATCTTACACACTTTGGACTCCTTCCATTTAGGCATTTTGACTTAAGCATTCTTTCTGCTCTCTGAAATATTCTTTAACATTCTATGCCAAGATTCTCCTTTTACTACAGCAGTACTTGAGCATAATTGTTAAGCAAAATGATTGCTTCCAAGGACGTATGTGGGAAACTCAGGAAGCAAAATGTCTACCCTCTGTAGCTCTTCTCAGAGTCCTCCTGATAATGCGTACTGTCTCTTTCCAGTGGGCTAGAATTTACAATTTCTTTCAACATGACTGCCAGAACTCTTTCCCCCAAAGCCTCCAGAAAGGCCCAAGTTACAGCAGCCGAAGCACAACTCCCAGAATCAAGATGGTCCTGTGTTCACACAGCAGCTCTCTGATGCTGGAGAAGTTGTCTAAGCAGTATATGCCTCAGTTCTGGCAGCAGCTTCCTCATTAGGTTCTTCTGAGGACAGAAGTGCATGTATTTATGAATACAGAGGAGAGAGCAGATTACACTGACCACTGACAAGGTTCAGTGTGTGTGGTCCATTAATTCAGCAAAATGTTATGTAAAATGAAGATAATTGTCCTGTCTGACAGATTTTCATTGTTTTATAAATTAGAATAGGAGATGGTTATGGAATAATTAAAAAATATAACCCCCTGAGAGTCTGAGATGCAATGTAAGCTCTCTGACCTTTAGGTACCTGGGAGGTAAAATGGTCACAATGTACCCAACACTGGAACCCCTGCTTTCTACACATGGACTACCTGAAAATCAGATGCAATAACTAACTCGTGGAACATGGAGGGCACACCTGCACTGTTATCCTGTTTGAATATAGAAGAATCAGAAACTATGTTTAAATACATAAGAACTTTCAGCTGAGAGTGGTGTGCACACCTGTAATCCCAGCACTCAGGAGTGGAGGCAGGAGGATCAGGATTTCAAGGCTAGCCTTTGTGGTGATATATTGTGTACCCTAATAAAATTTGCCTGAAGATCAGAGAACAGAACAAGCCACTGGATTAAACATAGATGCTAGGCAGTGGTGGCGCACACCTTTAATCCTAGCACTTGGGAGGCAGAGATCTATATGGATCTCTGTGAGTTCAAAGCCACCCTGAACTCTAATGAGATTGATTCAGTCTAGGAGAGAAACAGAATCAGGCAGTGGTGGCACATCTTTAATCCCAGCACTTGAAATCTCATGCCTTTGCTTGAGAAGTCACATGCCTTTAATCCTAGCACTAGGAAGGAAGTGAAATAGCTGGGCAGAGAAAGGTATATAAGGTGTGAGGAGACAGGAACTAAAGCCTTTTCAGGCTGAGGAGTCCTAGAGGTAAGAGGTGACTATGGCTTGCTCCTTTGTCTCTCTGATCTTTCAGCATTTACCCCAATATCTGGCTCCTTTTTATTATTATTATTATTATTATTATTATTATTATTATTATAAGACCATTTAGCAATTCCTGTTACAAGCCTTGGCTACATAGTGAATTCAAGATCAGTCTGGGCTACTTGGGACCCTATCTCAAAAATCCAAAATAAACAAGTAAGGACTTTTAAAGGCCACATGAAATTTTACAACTCATTTTGTTGATTCCTAGAACTGTGAAAAGCTACCACACACTTCCTGCTCTTGTTACTTGGATAAATTCTGCTCAACTACAAATAGATCTTGTTTATTAAGTTCAATAGCTTCATCAAACTCCTCAAAGACTTTCATGTTTAAAAATGAGATATCCAAACAGCAGCACCTGTCCCCTTTCCTGTCATTTTTCATTCTGGTCTG